GGGGGCAGTCAGAGAGTGTCACTTGCTGCGTGTTTGATGCCTGCTTAGGGCTGTAAAGATGAACCAGTGATGGTGCGCAGGAACGCGCAGACAGATACTGAATGCCTAAACAACCGCACCTCGCTGCCCTCAAATGCATAAAACTCTCACAAACTTTCTGCAGAGGGGGTAGCAAGCAGTCCTAGCCGGTAGTCTCGACTATTCCGAAGCCTCTTTCCACGAAATCAAAATAAAACTCAGCAGCTGCCTGGAAGGTCTAAGTAGACGGACATAGCTCACCCTTTGGATGAAATATGCAACCTACAAATACTGGTGATCAAACTGCACGCATGCTGACCATAGAAGTTAGACCGTAAGCTTGAACCGCTAAGCGAAACAGAAACTCCAGTTTCCATCCTCCCGCAAGATTTACTCTGCTTATTCTAGCAACGTGAAATGCCCCTCTGTGTTTAGGTAATCCAATGGCTAGCCAGCCAGACAGGCAGGCCACTCTCGTCGCGAGAGAACTGGCGCGTTTTAGGATGCACATCACCATAATTAGTGAGAACAGTTTTTTGGAACAAAGACAGAACGCCTCGAGTTTAGGGGGGTTTTGTAGCTTAGCGGTTAGAGCGTTGGTTTCCGGTAAAGGCCTTCTCTGATACGCGGGTTCAAATCCCGCCGAACGCCTCGAGTTTTTTCACAATTGGGTCAACTCAAAAGACAGATGAAGTAAGTCGGTGCACGACGCACCTCTATCTGAAGCAAGTTTCACGATAAAGATTGCCATGAAGTCACCTTCGTTGCCATAAAAAATCTCGCCAGGACATCGTATAATCCACCTCCTCGTCCCCATCTATAGAAACAATGAACATTTCACTTCAATGGGATTGCAGCTCCTCCGAAAAAAAAATGCAACCTCATTATCCGTATCTGCACTCCTACAACGCCAAGTAGCCATGACGCGAAGAAGTCTTACGTAGGACTGCACACTTGCCTCGAGCCTGCGCACTTGTTAATCGTTTTTTGTGCGACGTCAAGACCAAAAGTAGTGACGGACTACGTCGCCTAGGAAGTAAATATAAATCATCAAGAGGCAGGCCACTGCATCGGTAACGGGCTCCGTTTGTTGAAAACTTGCGTATAACACAACCTCGCCATCACCAGCACCATTTTTTCCATCGCAAGATGACAAAATAGCTGATTCGTCAATGAAAATGGCTTGACGACGCACTAAGCAGGAGTCGGAATTACCGGGACAAAAGCAGAGAAAAGTACCTAATACTGGATTGATAACTATCTGCTCGAAAAGAGGTAAAAAAATTCAACCACGACGATGGCCTCAGGACAGGACGACAATGGCGGGGTGGAGTATAGTAAAAAAAGAAACCTTGTATTGGATTAGTGCAGTTTCATTTAAAATGCAGAAAAGAAGGAATATAAATGCTACTTCGGAAGAGATCGCGGTTTTCAAAAGGAAATAAACTATCTTCCATTTTGGAGTATTTTCAAATAACGGGATACAAGGGTCCTGGCGTCGAATCCTTGATTGATAATCAGTAACAAAACCAAGGGTGTCTTGTTTAATTTCTGAGGAAATTAATGCCCGAGGAAATCCTTCGGAACAGACGTTTTCAGGCTCAGTCCAAAACCTAATATAAATATTTTTGCTGAAATTCGTCAGCTACTGCTGTCAGTATGTTAAGTAATTGCGTAAAGTCAATGATATTAGCAGTCGGACACGGTACGTTAGACAGTGCCTGTCAGCAGCCAGGTGACCTGGCTTGCATTTTTGCCTACTTCGTCCCACTCTTCACTAGAATAATACCATGAAGTGACATCTCACCTGTGTTTTCAAGGTCGGCCTTGGTGTTAGAGCCGGGACTGGAGAGTTCCAGTCGGGTTTTCTCCGATCCTTCTGGCATACAGCCAACAGCAACACTCTGGGTGCCCTGAAGAACACGAGACTTCCACTCGGAGTACTGCTGCAGACGAGCCTGTGGACGCTCAATGAAATCGGAAAGTTCGTCGAGGCCGTACCGGTAGAGCATCACCTGATCCTCCACAGAGCAGCAGGAACGAGCCTGGTAGTGCTCAAGACAGACCATCGCTAGAACATGCGTAAAAAGCAAAAGAAATCAGGCACCTGGCTTAAAAGTGTCTGCTTATTATCAACATGAGACCTAGCACAGGGGAATGGATGATACACCTCCGATTGCAGCTAAATCTGCGGGTAAAAAATATAAGAGAGAAGATGAAGAGGCACTGGCAATAGTGCAAGCGGCGCATAGCCATTTAAAAAAAAAAACAGCTGAAGCCACTTACGTGCACAGGTGAGATGACGAATACAGCGATGAGGCTACCTTCTACTCGCTAATACAAAGATTTACTGATCAACTTTACTGTAATACTAGTGACATAAATGATATGCATGGGTAGGTTAAGCACTTAAATTGACCGTTTTGGTGTGTCAGGTGAATACTGCGAAGGAAGGTTGGACTTTGTCAACCGAAACAGTCTGCATCACATACTTGTGCTCTCAGACCTACTGTATATATCGG